CTTGAAGCTATGTTTGACGCATCTGTAAATGAAGAAACAAGTGGGCCATGTGACACGGTTGGATGGCCCGTCGCCAACACTGGGTTTGTCGGTCACCACGACTTCCGACTCGTAGGCTCGGGTAGGAGTGTGTAAGGGGTTAAGACGTATTTTTAAGCACTTCTGATTTAAACGCCTACTTACTTGATAAAAAGTAGTATGTTCGATTGCACTGTCAGACAATTTTATTCGAATTGAGTAACACTCTAGACCGTAAAGACAGACAGTATTAAATGTTTTTTTTTCATTTATAGGCAGGCCTTAGAGACTACCAGTAGATATATTCACACTTTTTCTTTTAAGGGGATAGGGTGAATTTCACACAGCCTTGCTTTCCCAGAAGGGTGAATACATTGCATATAACTTATCTACTAGTAGTCACTATAACCTGCTTATAAACGAAAAAATAAGTAATGTTGTCGATTGTTATAGTAAACATAAATTTGCTTTCACCAGTTGTAGAGTGTTGCTAATAATGGCAAGGATCACTGACGATGCCGACAATGATGCCGGCGAAATGTCTGGGAATGCACTAAGTCAACGGTCCGAATCTGGAAATGATCAGACAAGGTACGTTCCATTCGGTCTTCCTGCCAATATGACCAAGTGGCGAAAACAAGGCCAAGCAACTTCCATTAATTCGCTTGATCTACAATCCCATAAAAATGTGATGTAATAAATTGCCTGGCCTTCATTGAACTTTCCATCTGCCCTATGACTCAAAGGAACCAGTGACAATGTGGCGTGGGGGTTAACGTGAAGAGATTATACGCCACATTGTTTTGATTTAAGGCTCGCTGGGCTGTTGCTGAGACCAGTTTAGGTGAGGTCGTATCTGCACTTTATTGTTGCACGAATGAGAGTACCTTTTGGGGAGCAAGGCTGTGTGAAAGTCATTGGAAACCTAGGGTCAATTCATATTATTATGGGAAAATTCAACCACCATTAGTTCCTCACTTTAACTAAATTGGGTTAGAAACTGCAGCAAATACTGGACAAGCAAGAATAGGTGAAATTTAATAGTGTCGTGATGCCTACTTATTCGATGGCAGGAAATTCCTCAAGCTATTTAGAGTGACTAGAACTATTTATGCATATTAAGTAGTTTGCAAGGCCTTCATTAGATCTGGAAAAATCCCAGATTGTATGAGCTCATGAAGGACTGATAATTGAATTTTGCACAGCACTCTTAACGTGACTCGAACCCGAGTAAGAATAGTTCGGGCATAATTTAAACATGCCACCACTTCCCAAAATTTCCACGAATTTCATAGAGTCAAAGAGCAGACGTAAATTTCAAGGCTAGTCAGGATTCTATCGTATCACGTTTTTATAGTGGGATTGTAAATTGCTACTACTTATATTCATTATAAGTAGGCTTATAGAAAATCAGTAGAGCGTAAATAAGAGCCCAATCTATACTAAGTCACAAGAAGTTGAATTTTCCCTCGTGAATTTCACAATGCCATCAGGATTCACGAAATGGCAACTTTAAACCTGCTCATTGCATCACATGAAGCAACCTCAAGTTCTCAGTCCAGATCTACCGCGAGTGCCGAAGAATACAGTTGAAAAGTAGATGGAAAGAAGTAATATTGAACCACTTTGTGAGCCATGTTGGAGGGCACGGGGTAATTCTGCATAGCTTTGGCCTTCTCGACCGAGCTGAAATAAGATAAAAATCGGAATACTTGAACCAACTGAAACCTCTTGCCACTAAATTATGTAATAGCCTCATCCGAGTTGCTATACCAACACTGTCAGAGAATTGTTTGCCCGTCAAATGAACCAGAAAGTAATGAACTCCGCTGCACTTCTAGCCATGTCCTCTGCTCTACAAAAATTAACAGATGGTACCTTTGAACTGTCGAGGAGTTCTGTAAGAACCTGATATTTTTCAGACACGGTAGATCGTGAACAGGATATCTTCAAAGCTCTAGCGGGATTCAACCCTATCCCGCTACGGGAGACGTCTACACGACGCAGCTTTGATGCTTTCAGACAGCAATGATGGTCTTGCATTTCAACAATTAAATGAACTCGCATAGCTTTGTTAATGTTCATTTGTATTGAGGAAACATGTTTTTAGCTTAAAAGTGGGTTTTCGAAACTAGCATCATAGCAAATATATGAGACTGGTAGATGGATTTCCTATAATCAGTTGAATAGACCTTACATTTCCATTACATTTTGCATAGCCTTGTTTTCTCAAAAGTTAGTCTCATCCAGGCAGAAGAGGACTACAATTCCCTCAGCAGCCCCAGCGGGACTCGAACAACGACAGGGCAGCCTATAATCTCGGCACGTTAATCATTGTGCCACACTGACACGAGGGCAGATGTGAATTTTCCAATATCACATAATGTCGATGAAACAAAGTTACATTTGCCATAGCAATCGACTACATTACATATTTTTCGTTCATAACCATCTTTCGAGACTGCTAGCAGAAATTATGGAATTTTCCATTTTATTGTGGGAAAATGCAATTACCTGAAACGAAATCGGTTGGACACACTTTATGTATGTATGATCTACGGGTAGCCTCGAAAAATATATTAAGACGACTGGATATTGCCGATTAAGTTTTAATTATATGTGTTGTATTCACACTATTTCGTTTAAAGTGGTAAAAGACTGGTAGTTGATTTGTCCCACGATTATATGAGTAGAGCTGACGTTTGTTAGTGAATTTCATATAGCCTTGCTTTCCCAAAAAGTGCTCTCATCCAGGCTCAAGTGGATTGCAGTTTCGACCTCGCCTTGGTCTTATCAACGCCCCCGGCGGGAGTCGAACCATGACATTTGCAGCGTGTGCACACTCGACACGTTAACCGCTACCCCACATTGCCACGAGTGCAATTGGGCCAAAAGGCAAATGTGCATTTTAAGGAATATCATACGTTTTCCACATCACATTCTGTGTGGGATTGTCAACTAAGCAAACTTATATTTGCCATAGCAATGGAGGACGCTACTTTTTTTCGTAATCGAGTAGGTTTTCGAGACTACCAGTAAATCCGACATATGAGTTGTGCCCAACTGGCAGTTGATTTTTCCACAATGACATGAGCAGAACTGACGTTTCCGGTTAATTTCACACACGAATTCGATTCACAGCAAGTCTTCTTCAACTCATTACTTGCCGCGTTTACCTCCGCGCAGTCGACTTGTCGGACTGATCGCCGTTGCATCGGTAGACCGAGCTCCGATTCCGGGCTCCCCGAGAAATGGCCAGCTCTTTCGGGGACAAGACCGGATCGGACCAAGCCAGTCTTGGTCGTTTCCTTCTCATCCGGTCAACGTGTCAGTCTCTTTGACGGGAGCGCAGAAACTGGCTTCTTATTGACTTGTCGATTCCATCCGGTACAGAGTTTGAGTCCTGTTGCAATCGAGATCGCAGTTCCTAGTTTTGTGTGAATATGAAGAGAAACCATGCTCTACCATTGCATGGCAATTTGAACAGCCTCGTCGTGTCAAATTGAATTCCATGTTGTCTTTGTTTAAACGAGTGACTCAGGCGCCTTGACTACCAACTCGCGAGAAGAACATCGCCAAGGCGACAGAGACCGTTCCGTACTTTCGGCACTCGGTTTCTGACCTGCGGGTCCATTTGCGGGTCCCCACGAGTCAATTACCATCGGCATACTCAAGGTATTGCTAAAATGATAACTCAGTGACATATTGTTTTGTTCCGTGCACTGCCACCGGCCTGAGAAATGGGCAACCTTGCGCGTCTGTTCGCGACCGCCTCATATTTGGACATTAGCATAGCAGGCGGATGGGTGTGGGTGTGGGTGTGAGTGTGGATGTGGGTGTGGGTGTGGATGTGGGTGTGGGTGGAGCAGATGGAACCACCCAGAGGCCGGTCCCTGAAGTTATCGCTGCACCTCATCATGTCAGCCAGGTCGGGTTTCTGCAATGCTGCACGATCAAACTCACACACATACACACACACACACACACATTCAAGGGGAAATTTGGAGCAGAGGTCGCTTTCACCTCTCACGGTGGGACTTTTATCTTAGCCTGCTCATCTGGTCGGTTTACTCGAAGTCGGGCTATTTATCAACACAACACTTCGATATTCAACACATACACACACACACA